TTTTTTAATGCGGGGATCTAATGATTTCCCCAATGCATGTTACCAGAAATAAATAAATAATTTTTTTCCGATTGTGTGTAGTCTTGTCTTCTTGTAAACTGGTTTTGTGCATATATATACGGGAACTATTTGTACTTATTCTTCTCTATCTGATAGTAATTTTGATTTCTGTTTGCGAAAAGTGTTTGGATGTGCGTATATAACTACGAAGTTTAGTGCTCGCTTTTGGGGAAGAACGCTCGTTTCATCTACCTTGATCTATCTATCTGACTTTCTTTTTTCCTTCGAGTCTCTTATTAAAAAATTGGCAAATATCATTTATTTATTTATTTCAAATGGCAGGCGTTATGATAGGTATCATTAGCCCTTTAGTTGACTTCGGGCTTCACAGAAAGGAAGATGAACATGCAAGTGGTAAAAAGTCGAGAGGGGGCAGAATAATGATTCACAGACGTAAAAGAGACAGACAGACACAAAGGTAGAAAAAACGTGAGGTGAATACTGTGGAATTATTCGAATATGAAATGTAATGGGGTCATGGTAGTTTGAAGTCAAAAGTCAACTGCCGACTAATAGACTTTTTGCCGTATGAGTATACGTTGCCCAGGGTGCACCACGTGGAGGTAAGTCTATCGCACACCCCAGCAAATATCATTCATATTAATTAAATATACCTGAAGTATGCATGGGACCAATGTGATTTAATTGTGTGCTTTCATCATTGCCCATTAGGGTTTAAAAGTTTTTACTCTCAACTCGGAATTTTAAGCTAAAAGTGGTGCTGTCGTATCCTGGTGGGCTTAGAAGCATTCTTTCATTTGAAGCAGAACCACCTAACCTAATAACAAATGGGCGGTCAAACAGGACTTAAATTTCAGAATCGTGGTGAAAATGAAGTTGTGGTTGAGCCTTTGGTGCACCAAATGGAGTAGATAGTTATTTGCAATCGCTGTTCACTTGCTTAGAAAGTAATAAAAAGGTATTATGATATTGCAGAGCTAGTAGATAACCCGTATACTCAATAAAATGAGTTTGAAGCATAAAAATGTTAAGGTATTATCTTGAATCTTGTTAATTTACTAACAATCTCTCTTGATCGACACGGTTTCTAGCAAAGTAAACTAAATGACAATGGCCTTGTGGATAGACTCTGGTAAAACAAAACCCTCCAATGTGTATTTACAAGTGAATGCTGATTTTCTTTAACAAAATCAATATTTTTTGATAGCTTCCTTGATTTTTTTATAATGGCGCCTTGTGTTATCCCTTTATACTTATATATTGTCCATTAATTCCCCAAATACAAATTTTTAAATTGTATGTTCATTTTCCCTCGACTAACATAGGAGACGCAATTAATAATGGTAAAATAAGCTAAGCAAAATAATATTCATATGTGAATTAAGAGGTATTGAATTTAGGGATAAATAAGCTTGTTCGCCTTTCATCAATAACATTAGAACGCTGTGGGATACTTCTTCAATTGATTAGGCACTTACTATGTTGCTGAATTACGCTTTTAAGATTACTACCAAAATTAAGGCTCTACTCAATTAATGATCGAATTTCGACATTTAAACACCGGTGAAAAAGGTGTGATGTTAAAGACGAGAGTAGCATATTCAAAATTAACCCAACACACAGGTAATTATTTCGATTTGTTATTGGCATTGGGAAAAAAAGAGGATACCAAAATTTAGTTTAGAAAGTATTTTTTTTTCATGTAATTACATAAATAAAAATGTTTAATTATAGCCTTGCTGAAGACACAAAAGTCGTTTGTCCAAAACCGAAGTTTACTAGACACACTTCCGAAAAAGGAACAAATCCATTGTTCATCGAGACACGTAGTCACTCAGTACAAACACGTCTTTCCTCGATTCCATCTCCTCAGATAACCGGCACAGTGCCTACATCGTCGAATTCTGCAGCCAGTGGTCAAGAAACTTCCTTGATCCTTCATCGAGTCATAGTTGATCCCTCAGCCAAAAAATCTTCCCCTGAAGGCGGTCTAACTGCAATCCTCCCATTGCTCAAGCAGTGCACACGATGTGGTTCGCAGCGAGTTCGTTTGGTACTTGTAGAACGACCGCCTGCATCGGCTTCACGCACCCTGCCAATTCCATCGCCGATTCCGTCACAGACCCCTGTTGTTAGTACACCGACGATTCATCGACAGCATCATCATGATCATGGTAAGAGCCGACCCGTATTCTCCACTCTGCCCAAAAAGAGCGAAAGGAAAAGGAAGGAACCGAGGATTTTGCGACCTGAGCAACAGGCGAGACAGCAAATGTGGATGGATGAGAGATCTATGATGCAACCAATTTCGTAAGTGCTATATCCTTATGGTCTCCCAATATGGCGGACTGTGGGGAGACGGGGTGACTTTCACCTTTAAATTGGTTAAAAAATACCAACATTACATTGTGCTCATAGCCAAAGTTAATCTGATATTTGGGAGATAAGTTCCAATGAGAATCAATTAATCACTAGAATTCTAGAAAGAGAAGACGAATTTCTGTAAGATGAGACATTTGCAATAGTAACTTAAATGGCAAATTACATCCTCCCTGATACACCTCTAATTTGTCCATATCTGGGTGAGTTTATCAAACTGTCTCAGATACGTACTGAAGTGGTTGCTAACTCACATCGGTTCTGTTGAAGTAGATTGGTGAATGGCATGAACTCGCCTAGTGATTATTCCCTTAACTACAGTGAATTTGCAAAAATTGCATTTTATGAACAGTCTGTATTGATGGGGATGAATAAAAATACAAGGGCACCACCGATCCGTCTGTAATCTGTTTAAATAAATTTGTACTCCCCTTCAGAGTATAGTTTAGGGATAAATGATTTCCCACGGTTTCGTCCTGTTGCCTATTTTACTACCAAAGCACATTAAATTTCGGCTGCAATGCCAAATACTCCGACCCTGGTTAGTTAACTAATTAAATCAAAATGTTTTTTTTTAAATTCTCACTACAAAATGCATATTTTAACGAGCAACCGGCAAAAGTTTTCTACAGGGAAAAATGTCGTCTCGCTCCAACACCTTGATTCTCCACTTTCCTATTTCTTATTCATATAATGGCGAGTATAAATTGTTGATCTGAACCCGTGTCAGTGTAGATTAATTAGTTCCTACAAGTTATTGGTGGTTTTTTAGACTCCCAAGTTCTCAATATAGTCTTAGAGAGAAACCTCAAAGAGCCGCAGTAGCAACCGCGGTGAAGTCCTTGGAGAAAACTTCAAGAGTGGGAAGTTCTCGTGGGACGTGTTCTCATCGCCATCAACCCCGCGATGCTACTCCGCAAATACCTTCACCAAAACTTCACTCAAACACCCCTCGTCATCGTCATCAGCATCATGGTCCTCTGGAGGGAATGAGTAGTAGTGGAAGTAGGGGTCACTCTTTGCCAAGAGACCCTCGACCGTCTCCACGTCAACAGCCGTTTAGGCATGAACACCACCATCATCACTTTCACCATAATAAGCCAACCTCTGCAATCATCAAATCCTCCTCTCAAGATACTCCGTCAACTTCTCATCAATGGTGGATAACTCCAATCACAACGAAGACGAAATCATTCCAAAATGTGCCTGTGAAACAGCGACCTAGTAGGCGGGGGAAGCAAAAGGTTGGACCTCCAGAACCACGACTTGAAGGTACTTAAAAGATGCTATTATTCGATGAACTAATAACTGAAAAAGAAAATACTTACTTTGGTTTGGTTTCATTGGATGTAAGGATTTCGTTGTAATTGATGAAAAACTTCAGTATCGTACTCTGAAACATCCCAACTTCCAGTAGCCTTGTTTCCATTTCACTATTCGTCATTATTCATTTTCTTAGCAGACGAGACTGGCTTTTAATTTATTCAACACACCACATATTTTAATGACCATTTATTTTTCAAAACGGTATTGTTAAAATAAATGTGAGATGTTTATAACAACAACATCATCACTCATCGATTAATCAAGATTTGTTAACTTGTACTCGCTTAAAAGAAAGCAAGAAAGATGCGATTTGATTGATATAATTTTTATTTATTTGGTAATTAGATTAATTTCGTTCAAAATCACACATTTATTCACAGTAGGTACGTAAGTTTTGTATTTTTTTCATTAAGGTGATTAAAATTTGATGCATTCATGGTTTCTTTTAAGGCTGAGGTCCTAATTCTTCATCTATTCAAGCTGTTGCTTTGACTGATGACTTCAACTAGAGTGAAGAATAATTAAAAACGGTTTTACAGATTCCAAGCGAAGCTACCTTTCCCAATTCTGTATTATTGCTTTTTTTTGTTCAGGTGACGGGGCCGCCGCACCATCAAGTTCGTCACTAAAAGGAGGAACATTAATTGGTCTACCTCACTCTCACATCCAACCGCGTCAACGACATCTACTTTCTCCACCGGCAATGGAATCTCAACCTATTCCCCCAGCCTTATTGATGCCTCATTCCCGCCGATCGCTAACAACTCCTAGCACCACTTATATTCCACCAGCATCCTCTGCAACCACCCCTATCTCCTTCAGTCAACCCATGTTGGCGCAGACATCTACATCAACCGGCCGACAGCCTCGTCGAACCTATGATGAAGTCGATTACCTTCTCTACAATCTCTGTCTGAATATCGAGAGTGCCCTTTGAAATTCTCTTCCACTCGAAATCTTAATATTTATTATCTCTCCCTGATTGAACAGAGTATTCTTTAAAATAGGTCAAGCAATAATTAGTTATAAATGATATTCCATTCCAAATTGGATATCAAAAGATTATATTCGTCAGTTAAAAATATTCGCCGTCGCACATATTCACTTCCTTCCTCGGATTGTGTCATTTAGATGTCTTTTTGGATTCGTAATTTCCAGAGATATTTTCTCCTCCTTAACGAGTATGCGGATAGAGCTCAATAGGATGTGCTTTTCAACCTCGGAGAATCCAGTACTCTTCTTAGATTTATTATATTATTTCTGCAAAAATAAAACTTCTTTTGACCAATAGTTCGTCCTTAAACTTTCATCATTCAGGAAAATCTCGGATATAAAAGGGCGTTCAAAGTTGTGGAATGAACTCAAACATTAGGACGTTTACTAACTAATTCATCGGGTTTCACAATTTCGTTATAGTTAGCATTCAGATTTGTTTGTTTGGAGAGTAAAATTTGAAATAAAAAATACTTTTTTTCGAGTATATCATCATTGTTATGACACTAATATAATAACAGCAATCATCAATATTTTAAAAAATAATTGGAGACATTCCTTTTTTAGATATTAATTAAAATAATACACGAATGAATTACTCTGCAAGTTTCATTTTGTGCATTTGGACCTATGAAGACCGGGGAAGATCAGAATTTATACATGGAAGAATAACAGAGGGGACTAACTTAAATTAACAGCGAATTTTACGTATCATGAGAATTTCAAAATTAATGGGTTACAGCAAAGTCGCAAATTTGTACTTATTGGTCAAAAGCTATTTCCCTGAGAAAGCGTCTGATCGTCCATATTTTTCTCTAATTATTTCTCAAATGATGAACCAAAGTTAAGAACATTAAAAAGTCAAAATTGTTTCTTTATAAATATGATAATTTAAATTATGCAAATATTTTGAAAGATTAACAAAATTATGCACGTCCGATTTAACAAATTCTTGTTTTAATTATTTCTTTCAATAGTGTAATATACGAAATCGCACCTAAGGCGTTATTCCACCGATGTATATTAAAAGAGTAATAATTCAAGGATTCCGAAGCTATAGGGATCAAACATGTCCTGAAGATTTTAGTCCCCATCACAATATTGTCGGTAAGGGTGTACATTTAGATGTCAATGGTTTTAGTTGGCCGAAATGGTTCTGGAAAATCAAACTTTTTCCAGGCTATTCAATTCGTATTATCTGATGAATATAGTCACTTAAGCAATCAGGAGCGACAAAACTTCCTCCATGAAGGTACTGGGCCAAGAGTTATTTCCGCTTACGTTGAAATTATATTCGATAATAGTGATGGTCGCATTCCAGTAGGCTTAATTTATCTGTAGTTATGGCATTTATTTCAGTCTGAAAAACACGAAGTTTCTCTTCGTCGTATTATTGGTAGTAAAAAGGATCAATTTTTTCTCGATAAAAAGATTGTGACGTAGGTCTTGTTTGTATCTATAATCATGTCTTTAATTTTAGTAAAACTGAAGTAATGAACATGTTCGAAAGTGCAGGATTCTCTCGTAGCAATCCTTACTACATCGTCAAACAAGGAAAGGTTCGTTTCCTTTTCTTTCCTAAATAATTTGTTATTCCTAGATTACACAACTTGCAACAGCTCCTGACAGTCATCGCTTAAAATTATTGCGTGAGGTAGCTGGAACCCGTGTTTATGACGAGAGGAAAGAGGAGAGCAAACAAATCTTTAGGGAATCTGGTGGGTTTTTAAATGCACATTCAGAACATTTATTCATTTAATTGTTTTGTTAACATTATTGATTTTCAATTCAGAGGCCAAGCGGGAACAAATATCAAAGCTATTAGAGAGTATTGAAGAGAGATTAGGTACTCTTGAGAATGAAACTAAGGAATTGAAGGAATACCAACGTTGGGATCGTGATCGCAGAGCCCTAGAATACACAATCTATGATCGAGAACTGAAAGAAACTCGAAAAAAGCTAGCTGAAATTCAGTCGCGGCGAGAACAGAGTAGTGAAAGCACTGCGGAAATACGACGTGCAGCTAAGGAATGCGTAGCTCATATTGAGGTAATTGTTGGGTAGCTCATTCTCACTATAAATATATACAGAAATGCACTTATTTCTCAACATTTACATTTAGCTCCTTGAAAGAGAACTCCGTGATACTCGTTTAAAAGAGGCTCAATTGCAAGATGAGGCGGAGCAGGTGCAGCACTCAGTCAGTGCTATTCTTCAACGCAGAGAGCAGTTACAGCTGGAGTGTGGAGACTACACTCTAACCCTCTGCTCGGGTAAATCTGCCCGTGAACACGCCACTGAAGAACTAGCCAAAGTTAATGCTCAAATCAAAGTGGTTGAGAAACGCCTTGCAGAGTTGAAGCCCGAGTATAAAGCGGCTCGTCAAAAGGAAGACGATATTGCTAACGCCCTATCTGACGCTCAACATAGGCGTAAAGAGCTGTTTGCTAAACAAGGACGTGTCAACCAATTCCGTTCAAGATCTCAACGTGATGAGTGGATTAAAGATCAGATGAAGGGACAGGCTAAAGCAATTAAGGACAAGGAAACCACCATTGCTAGACTTACAGAAGAAATTAGGAATGACGATGCTCGCAGAACTGCCTTGGAAAAGGATCTGTCCACTGCTGAGGATAAGATGAATGCCCTGAAGTCAGAACTTGACTCCGTTCAAGAGGATTGTCGACGTTTGAGGAGAGAGAAGGAGGAAACGCAGGCCGATCGGCAGACTGTCTATAGGGAGGAGACTAGAATTGCTCAAGAGTTGAATAATTATCGAGATGAATTAAGTCGCACCGAACACAATCTCAGATCTATTACTGGAAAGGTTATTCTTAACGGTCTGGACTCTGTCAGAAAGGTATGACATTTTTACCTTATTCACATTGTCATCTATTTATGTTTATTGTATGTTTTGTTTTATTAGGTCATTGAAACTTTCCGTAATCGTTACGGCCCCGAGCACGACGTTGTTCAAGGTTATTACGGAACGTTAATTGAGCTCCTGGAGTGTCCAGAAGACTTTTACACTTGTGTTGAAGTCACAGCAGGTTCACGTCTCTTCTACCATGTTGTACAGTCGGATAAAATCGTCATAAAGATAATCAATGAAATCAATAAACATAATCTTGCTGGTGAGGTGCATTTCCTGCCTATCAATAAACTCTACGTCAGAGAGACAATTTATCCTGAAGTAGAGGGAGCCATCCCTATGATTTCCCGGCTTAAATTTGACGATAAATTCCGTCCAGTTATGCTCCATATCTTTGGCAAGACCCTGATTTGTAGTAACCTCGAAGTTGCTAGTCAATTAGCTAGAAGGCAGAATTTCGATTGTATCACTTTGGATGGTACGTCGCTACCTAATTATAAAAGACTTCTGGGTCCTACCTCTCCCATTTGAACTTCCTTTCGTTTTGTGTGTTATAGGCGATCAGGCTTCACGAAAGGGTACATTGACTGGTGGTTATTATGACAATCGTATGTCTCGACTTGAGTTGCAGAGACGAAAGCAGAAAACTGAGATGGAAATCCAAGAGACGGAAAATGTTCGCGAGAACAATGCAAAACGCAAAGAACAAGTTGATACGCAAATAAATCGCATTATCGATGAATCTCAGAGGAAAGAAACTATCATCTCGAAGTTGGAGTAAGTTCATCTTTTTGTTTAAAACTTTTTTTCTCTATGGAAATATATTACCATATGGTAACTTGATTGATTATAGAAGTTTATTAGTAAGGCCGTATTAAATTTCGATCAAGTTAGATCTTTCGATTTAGAACAACAAGAGTTGGAAAACATATGAGAGAATATGACTGGAGGAGGAGGATAAGTAGGTAATTGGAAGGGAGTTGAACAAGTGTGAGTTCTTTGTGGGTTTAAATAGGAATGACTGGTCATTTTTTCTCTTGGAATTCGTTTTCTT